CCTTGCCAGAGTATTAAACTCGCTATTCGTCATCAGTGATTAGTCTCTCTGAGTCTTCATTTCAACCTGGTGCCTCCTTTTGGCGGAATTCTCCCGACATATCGGGGCTGGATCCCCGATATCATTGCCTGTCAAATTTTTGCCTTCTTTCTCCTCTTACTAGGTGTAGTAAGATGACAACTTTTTGTCATAGTGTTTACTCAGGCACAGTGGTTGAGATGTGTATTTCCAAGTTATATGCAGTTGGAGGTGTTAAGAGCCTCTCTAAGGGACATAATTTTTGGAAGTGGCTCCTGACTTGGAATGAAAATGTCTTGATGGCTCAGGAGAATTTTCTCTTGCAACACAATGGGTGACAGGCCTGATTTCCAGTGCAGCTCTGTTTTCTCACTTAAGTGTTAGTGATAACATTTAAATGAAATCAGGTTGTAGAAAAGGCCTGCTTTTATTTCCAAACGGATATCAGTTTCCATCTTTGTTGAGAATTATGAGGGAGCATGGAACTTAATTGTAAAGTTCTCCAGATAGAGAAGGTCATTTGTTATGTTTCAACATATATAAATACTGTTTTTGTTCTTTCAGGCTTATCTAATAAACTGTGTTTGGAACTGCTATAAATACATCAACAACAGAAATTTGCCAGAGATTGCTGTGTACCCTGCCTTTGAAACACCTCCACAGGTTAACTACATCTTGATATATTAAAATGTCATTCGTCATTATTGATTCCAAGAAATAGCCTGAGTCTGAACATTCTCTATAATGCTATAACTGTGGTTTGAGACATGACTAGCTTAGGTCCACAAGATTCTGCATTTCCTAGTGGGAGTCTTTAAGTTCACATGGCTAGAAAGCTTCACTGCTCCTCTTATCTAGCCTGACTGTTAATGAATGTTGGCTTCTGGGGGCATAGCTGGCAGAAGAGAGAGAGGTGTATGCCAAGTGAGTGCCATGGACTCTGGGATTTTAAGGATGAGAGATAGAATACCAAAGGCCAAAAGTGATTTTTTTTATTTATATGTGTATATGTATACATACAATCTGTGTAGCCTGTTAAGGGCCAGTCTCTCAGACTTCAAGTCACTTAAGTTGCAATTCCACTGTCCTGTCCAGCCCTGGAAGGCCCGTGTGTACTTGTCCCTTGGTTATGAACAGAAAGTTCTGATGAAATTCAGAATCTAGCATCTCACTCAGAGTTAGCAATGATGTGGTGCAGTGTCAGATAGGGTCCCATTATCTACATCCTGAACCCCTCAGACCTAATTGGTACCTTACCAGTTGCAGTGGAAGAAGGGGCATAGTGGTGCATACTAGCTGTCTAGGAATCTTGCTGTCTTCCTTCTTACTTCCTTCCTTCCATCCATTTCTCCATAGCACTCTTCACTTACGTATTTTAGTAGAATAAAAAGTTGCATGTTATTCACTCATTTCCACTTTCAGGAACTTATTTAGCTAACAGCTTCTTCACCTAATCGCTGTAAGCTTATATAAACGATTGAAAAGGAGCCTTAATTTGGATTTTTTTTTCTTTTTCTCTTTTCAGTACGTTTTGCCCACCTATGAAATGGCAGTGAAAATGCCTGAGAAAGAACCACCGCCTCCTTACATACCTGCCTGAAATTCTGCCTTTGTCAATAAAACCTGTTCGGGCTTTGTGTCATGTTTATTTCCAGACTGCTGCATTGCAGGACTCTTCAACTTCTATGATATAAAATACATTTTTATTTGTTTAAGCATTTGTTCTCAAAACACTAAGGAGCTTTTTGAACATCCATTAAGAGTAACTTTTTTTGTTATTGTTAAATCTATACATTTAAGTAGTTTTTGGAGACAATCTAGGTCAAGCAAGAGCAAAATACCATTATTTGCCTTTACTTGGGGGTAAGGAGACGGAAGGGAGTATCCTCCACATATTCCTATTATGACTTTGCACTTTCTTTGTATAATAGTTTGCATTTTGGTTATTAGCATCCCTGGATACGTTTCAGGAAGAATGAATGAAATATTCAGGGTGAATGAGTTGGATACAAGACCTGAAGTTTTTAGTATGGAAGCAGGACAAGTACGTAACACTTGACTACGGAATTTGAGGGTTGCATGTTTCTAATTTGTATGTATTTTCATCTTTGTTATAAGATGCTTTAATAAATCTCTTAAAATATTTACTGTTGCCATTTTATTCTTATTGATCCTTTGGCAATTTTCTTCATGGATAAAACACAATTTCCATTGCCATAAATTCAGAATGTCAAGGTTTATTGGTTTTTTGAGAATGTAAAGCTGAGTACACAGTCACTATACCAAAAAGAATTGGCTGACAGGACAATTTCATGAAGCAACAAATGACCAAGAAGCAATGATGATGAAAGAGGAGGAAGTTCAAGCTGCTCTGAAGGAATTGGCAAAAAACAAGGTCTCAGGATTTGATGGAATAACATTTGACATATTTCAACAAACATGCTGCCTTGGACATGCTCACCAGTTTGTGCCAAGAAGTCTGGAGGACGGCTACCTGGCCAATTGACTGGAAGAGATCCATAGTTATTTCCATTCAAAAAGTGATTTGACAGCATAAGAATTATCAGACTACCACCCACAAGTGAAATGCTGCTGGAAAAGGACTGGAACAGTACATTGATAGAACTACCAGAAATACAAGCTGGGGATTAGGAGGGGCTGTAGCCCTAGAGACATCATCGTCAGATGGATCTTGACTGAAAGTAAATAGTACCAAAAGAATGTATTTCATTGACTACACAAAGGCATTTGACAGTATATCACAACAAATTTTGACTAACCTTAAGAAGAATGGGAATCCCAAAACACTTGATTACTCATGCAAAACCTATACTTGGGCCAGGAAGTGGTCCTCAGAACTGAGCAAGGAAACACTTAAAATGGTTCAGGTCAGGAAAGGAGTGCATCAGGGTGCATCCTGTCTCCATGCCTTTTCAGTCTGTATGCAGAATAGATTATTTGTGAGGGTGGACTTCATGAGGAGGAATGGGGCATCAGGATTGGAAGATTAGCAACCTGCTTAGGCAGATGACACAACCTTGCTTGCTGAAACTGAGGAAGACCTGAAAGTTTTGCTTCAGAAGGTCAAGGACTGTCTGTAGTCCTTGGAAGCTCAACATGAAAAGATTCTCACCACTGGGCCAATTAACAGCACCGTGATGGAGAAGAGATTGAAGTTAACAATTATCTCTTGATTGAGTCCACAACAGTCTTGGCACCAGCAGTCAAGAAATCAAGACAAATTGCGTTTAGCAAGTCTGCTGTCAAGGACCTCTCCAGAGTGTTAAAAGAGATGTCCATTTAGTAACTAAGGTGTACCTGATCCAGGCCATGATCTTTGCAATTACTTGCTATGCATCAGGGAGCTGGACAAAGACTAAGGGTGATAGGAGAATCATCAATGCCTTTGAGTCTGCTGGAGAAGAGTGTTAAACATACTGTGGACCTCCAAGAGAACAAGTCTGTCTCGGAGAGAGTGAAACCATGTTTCTCCTTGTAGGCAAGGACTTTGAAGCTCTGTCTTACATACTTTGGGCACATGGCCAGGAGGGACCGGTCCTTGAAGATGTCATGTTTAGAGGGGTGGAGGGACAGTGTAGGAGAAGATGACTCCAGATGAGTAGGATCGACAGTAATGGGGGTAGGTGTGTCAGAGTCAGACTGACTCAGAATAGGTCAGGGTTCAGAGCTATTGTACATGGAGTCACTATGAGTCAGTCGTAGGCAACTCTTTAACAAAAAAGCTGACTTAATTAGAAAGTAATTCTTTAAACTTGGAAGGGGGCTCTGGTAGCTAGTCTATGGTGAGTTCCACTGCTAACCCAAATGTTCTACTGGTGGTTTGAGCCACGAGCAGCTGTGAGGGATGAAGATGGGCAGTCTCTTCCTCTACAATTTACAGTTGCCAAAACCTAGTGGAAAGTCAGCTATGAATTGCCTCCATGGAGTATTATTTTTTAGTAACTCAGAACTGTTCTTTAAAGTCACAATGAAAGTGTATCTTAATTTACTATTATTTCTAATTAGTTTTTTAATTCTCATGATAGTTTGATTTTTAAAAACATCTCATGATTAATACAATAAGCTATGTTTTATACTTTCACCATTTAATTAGGTAGTGATTTCAACTTGTATCTGTTGACCTCAGGGGAAACGAAGCAGAAACAAACAGACACCACTGCTTACATTTTTTGTTTTAAAATACTCGACTTTGTATCTTGCTAAGGATGCAACAGTGATGACTATACTGATTTAGCCACGTGAATCTTAACTTAGTCTCTAAAGGGTGACACTTGTTTGGTTGTAGTCTCAGTATAAGGAATGCTTACAACCACAACCATAAAATAACTTTTATATAAGAAAACTATTATTGGACATACACCTAATTTCCTGTCATGGAAGATTTTACAGATTTCTTCATGGCTTTAAAAGAGGGCAAGATCTCACATAACAACTATGAGATATCATCACAGTAAGAATAGCAAAATTTAACAGAACAGCAAGTAACAAATGCTCACGAGGTTGTGGAGAAACTGGAACCCTTATTCACTGTTGGTGGGAGTGTAAAGTGGTGCAACCACTGTGGAAGGCTGTGTGGCTCTTTCTCAGAAAGTTGCAAACAGATAACATTTGACCCAACAGTTCCACTACTGGGAGTATACCCCAAAGAGACCATAACTGCCACCCAAGCAGATATATATGCACACCCATGTTTATCGTGGCTTTGTTCACAATAGCAAAGAGTTGGAAACACTCTAAGTGCCCATCAACAAACAAATGAATAGAGAAGCTGTGGTATACTCACACAGTGGAATACTATGCTACATTGAAAAATTAGGAACTCATGAAATAATTCAAAATGGGTGACCCTGGAAGACATTATGCTGAGTGAAATATCTCAGTCATAAAAGGACAAATTCTGCATAGTGCCGCTTGTAAAGCAGGACTGACATCAGGATTGAGGGGAGGCTGAGAAAGATGAGATAAATAGTGTATACTGCATTGAAATAGATGCGGGAGAAAATTTTTTTTTGGGGGGGGGGGAGAAAACTTTAAAAGGGTATGTGATTAGGTATTACTGACAGGAGTCCAGAATAAAGGCTTCATAGTGGAGTGGACTTGGGGGCAGGGATTGTACAACAATGGAAGAATTCTTACTTTTCAAAGAGAAGAGTGAACTGGTGGGAGGGGATAAAAGTGCAACAATGAATGAATGGAAATCCAAAGTCTCTGTAAATTTTCATTAAAATTAAGGATAATAAAAAGAGAAAGTTCAAGATCTCACTAGAGTAGGCTTCACTTTCTTTGTAATAACTATGAAGCCCATCAATTTGTTTTCTTAGTGTTACTGATTTTTCAATTCCATCTTTACTAAAAACTGTTAAACAATATTTAGGTATTAACCAAGCTGTCCTTAGCCCTTTGCTGATAGTGAGATGACTTCAAACATTTGACTACATCAGGGATTCACAAAGGGTAGACACGGGCATTTGCCTATAACTCAAGGACATCGTTCTTGGGAAAGTAGAGTCAGGCCAATGTGATGGCAGAAGAATCAATGCCTTTGAACTGGTGTTTGAAAAGACTGCAAAGTGCAGCCAGAATGTTCCTTAGAAGCAAAGAAGATAAAGCTCTGTCTCATACTTTGAGCATGTTACTAGAAATGACTATTCCTTAGACAGGGACAGCATACTTGGAAAGGTGGAAGGATGGCAAAAAATAGGAAGACTTTTAATCAGGTGGATTGACACAGTCTCGAGTGTGTCAGAGATGATGACGATGGCAAAGGTAAGGTTCATGTTCGTTCACAGGATCACTATGAGTTGTACTCAACAGCACTTAACAATGCGATGGATTGTCACAGTAACTACAGTGGACTTGAGCACAACAGAGATAAGGAGGGCATAGGATCATACAGGATTTGCTTCATTGTACAGAGTCACTGGGTTAGAGTCAACTCGATACATTAAGCTCAGTATTATTTTACCCTTTGGGGTTATTTCACTGGAAGCAAGTTTACCTTCTGGGAAAGATCACAAAGCTTTAACAATACAGAAGTTACAATGTGTTAGTCCCACTCATTTCTCAAAAGGAAAAAATTCCCATCAACAAACATGGATAGAGAAGCTGTGGCATATTCGCACAATGGAATAATATGCTGCATTGAAAAACAAGGAACTCATGCAATATTATTCAAAATGGTTGACTCTGGAGAACATTATGCTGAGTGAAATATCCCAGTCACAAAAGGACA